TCACGGCCGCTCCCCCGGCCCCAAATCTTCTCCACTTTGACCCAAATCTCCAGCAGAGCTTTCCGGGGTCTCTGAGCGCCTCCAACCCCTCAATTAACCCCGACCCATCCGTTCATTAATTGGGCACCCCCACATGGACCTTCTCCATTAATTACACAATTAAGGGCTAATTAACGATCCCCCAGGACCCCCGGGAGCCCAAAGGGGGCAGATCCCGGCCGTGGCCTGGAGCTCGCTGCCGCTGCTCGCCGTCCTGTGCTGGGGGCACTGCCAGGGGGGTTCCAGAACCTTCCAGAGCGCTGCCATGCCCAGCCCGGGACACGCCCGGATCCGGCTTTGCCTCATCCCCATCTCCCCTTTTTCCCGCAGGGCTCCGGGCGGCCGTGACCCTGCTGGAGTCCGGGGGGGACCTCCAGCCCCCCGGGGGGTCCCTGCGCCTCCTCTGCCGAGGACAAGGATTCGAGTTTGGGAAGTTCGGGATGTACTGGATCCGCCAGAAACCCGGGAAGGCGCTGGAATTCGTCGCAGGGATCAGATATAATGGTGGCAGCACCTGGTACGCGCCGTCCGTGAAGGGCCGGTTCACCATCGCCAGGGACAACGGGCAGAGCTCGGTGACGCTGAGCATGAACAACCTCCAGGACGAGGATTCCGGCGTTTATTTCTGTGCCAAATGTGTTAATAATGGTTGTGGTGCTGGTGATGCTGTTGCTTATAGTGACGATGTCGGTGCTGGCCCTGAGCCCCCCTGATGGATCCCCAAATCCCCCAGAATTCCCAAATCCTGCCCCCAGTCCCAGCCCTGGGCCCCAAATCTGGGCCCTTTCCCCCCAAAGCCGGCCCCTGCTGCCCCAGCTCCCGCGTTTCTCTGCAGCTCGCAGCCTCTGACCCCGAGCCGACTCCTCTGTGCCGTGGGGAGATCCCAAATGAAAGGAAGCTCAGTTTGGGCTGGGATTTGATGGTTTTGTTCAGAGCCGGGGGCACAAGGCCGGAGCCAGCGGAGATCGCTGAGCGTGGGGATGGAAGCCACGGCGCAGGGGGGCAGCTGTGGGGTACAAGTCTCTGCTCAGCAGCACCAAATCCGGAGGGTTTCACCCCAAGAACTGCCCCGAGGGCCGAGGGTGGGGATTGGGGTCAGGGACGGAGATTTGGGGTGGAACCGGCTCAGAGCCGGGACAGACGGACGGGAACGGGGTCAGGGCTGGGCTTTGGGGCAAAATCCTGGGGTTTGTGGACACAGTGATGAGGACAAGGTTCATCACCATAAGCAGCAGCACCCCAACCACCACCATCAACACATTTGGCACAGAAATAAACGCCGGAATCCTCGTCCTGGAGGTTGTTCATGCTCAGCGTCACCGAGCTCTGCCCGTTGTCCCTGGCGATGCTGAACCGGCCCTTCACGGATGGCGCGTAGTCGGTGTACCGTCCATCGCTGTAGATGCTCGCGACGTATTCCAGCGCCTTCCCGGGTTTCTGGCGGATCCACAACATCCCAAAATCCCCAAAATTGAATCCTTGCCCTCGGCAGAGGAGGCGCAGGGACCCCCCGGGGGGCTGGAGGTCCCCCCCGGACTCCAGCAGGGTCACGGCCGCCCGGAGCCCTGCGGGAAAAAGGGGAGATGGGGATGAGGCAAAGCCGGATCCGGGCGTGTCCCGGGGGGGCCTGAGGTTCTTCCAGAAGGTTCTGGATCCATCTCGATGATGGATCCTCTTCTTCCAGAAGGTTCTGGAGCCCCCCCAGGGGTTCTAGACTATCCTGCCTGCTGCTGAGGTTCTAGATCATTCCGCGGGGTTCCAGACTCTCCTGCGGGGTCCTGGCTGGGGCTGAGGTTCTGGACTCTCCTGGGTGATCTGGAACCTCAGCACCATCCAGGAGCCGGCAGGAGAGTCCAGAACCCCGGGCTGGCTCCAGAACCTGGGGACCCTCGGGATGGATCCAGAACCTTCTGGAAGAACCTCAGGGATGGATCCAGAACCTTCCGGAAGAACCTCAGGGATGGATCCAGAACCTTCCGGAAGAACCTCAGGACCCCCACCCCGGGACACGCCCGGATCCGGCTTTGCCTCATCCCCATCTCCCCTTTTTCCCGCAGGGCTCCGGGCGGCCGTGACCCTGCTGGAGTCCGGGGGGGACCTCCAGCCCCCCGGGGGGTCCCTGCGCCTCCTCTGCCGAGGGGATGGATTTGAGTTCGGGAAATTCGGGATGTACTGGATCCGCCAGAGACCCGGGAAGGCGCTGGAATGGCTCGCGAGCATTGACAGCGATCACTACACCTGGTACGCGCCGTCGTCGCAGGGCCGGTTCAGCATCGCCAGGGACAACGGGCAGAGCTCGGTGACGCTGAGCATGAACAACCTCCAGGACGAGGATTCCGGCGTTTATTTCTGCGCCAAATCTTATGAGGAAAATGCTGGTTATCGTTTTTATCGTGGTGACAAACCCAGTTCCCGTCACGGCGTCCCCATGTGTCCCCAAACCCCAGGCTTTTGCCCCAATCCCCAGGGTTTTACTCCAAACCCCAGGATTTTGCCCCAATCCCCAGGATTTTGCCCTAAACCCCAGGTTTTCCCCCCAAATCTCAGCCCTGGCCCCGTGTCCCGGTTTGAGGACAGCCGTGTGCCAGGGAGGGCAGGAGCCCCCCAGGGACCCCAAACCCTGCCCTGGCTGCGCCCCAAACTCAACTCCAGGCCCCAAATCCCAACCCGGGCCCCAAAAGCGCTCAGGGGGCGACGGCCGGGACTGGGAGGGGCTGGGGGGAAACGGCCCCGGCTGGAGGGGAAGGGGAGATTTGGGGCCAAAAGGGGAAAAGTGGGGGGAAATGGGGAGTGGGGGCAGCAGGGGCGGAGTTTGGGGTGAAAGGGCCCAGATTTGGGGTGAAAGGGCCCAGATTTGGGGTGAAAGGGCCCAGATTTGGGGCCCAGGGCTGCGATTGGGCCAGGATTTGGGAATTCTGGGCTGTTTGAGGACTCTTCCAGGCAGCTTGGGGCTGGCATCAGCATGGTCACCAACATGGTCAACAACACCTGAGGTTCTTCCGGAAGGTTCTGGATCCATCCCTGAGGTTCTTCCAGAAGGTTCTGGATCCATCCCTGAGGTTCTTCCAGAAGGTTCTGGATCCATCCCGAGGGTCCCCAGGTTCTGGAGCCAGCCCGGTGTTCTGGACTCTCCTGCCGGCTCCTGGATGGTGCTGAGGTTCCAGATCACCCAGGAGAGTCCAGAACCTCAGCCCCAGCCAGGACCCCGCAGGAGAGTCTGGAACCCCGCGGAATGATCTAGAACCTCAGCAGCAGGCAGGAGAGTCTAGAACCCCTGGGGGGGCTCCAGAACCTTCTGGAAGAACCTCAGGACTTTCGGGATGGATCCAGAACCTTCTGGAAGAACCTCAGGGATGGATCCAGAACCTTCTGGAAGAACGTCAGGGATGTTTCCAGAACCTTCCGGAAGAACCTCAGGACCCCCCCCGGGACACGCCCGGATCCGGCTTTGCCTCATCCCCATCTCCCCTTTTTCCCGCAGGGCTCCGGGCGGCCGTGACCCTGCTGGAGTCCGGGGGGGACCTCCAGCCCCCCGGGGGGTCCCTGCGCCTCCTCTGCCGCGGGGAAGGATTCACAATCGGGAATTTTGGGATGTTCTGGATCCGGCAGAAACCCGGGAAGGCACTGGAATACGTCGCACGGATCAACAGCGATGGCAGCTACACGTACTACGCGCCGTCGGTGCAGGGCCGGTTCAGCATCGCCAGGGACAACGGGCAGAGCTCGGTGACGCTGAGCATGAACAACCTCCAGGACGAGGATTCCGGCGTTTATTTCTGCGCCAAAGCCTCCTGTGTCAATTGTTG